GTTAACGCGGCTGATTGTCCGAGAAGATTGTATTGAACATTTTCCCGAAACGTCGGTTTACTACGGAATGTGTACTACGGTAAAACGTTAACGCGGCTGATTGACCGAGAAGATTGTATTGAACATTTTCCCGAAACGTCGGTTACTACGGAATGTGTACTACGGTAAAACGCTAACGCGGCTGATTGTCCGAGAAGATTGTATTGAACATTTTCCCGAAACGTCGCTTTACTACGGAATGTGTACTACGGTAAAACGCTAACGCGGCTGATTGTCCGAGAAGATTGTATTGAACATTTTCCCGAAACGTCGCTTTACTACGGAATGTGTACTACGGTAAAACGCTAACGCGGCTGATTGTCCGAGAAGATTGTATTGAACATTTTCCCGAAACTTCGCTTTACTACGGAATGTGTAATACGGTAAAACGTTAACGCGGCTGATTGTCCGAGAAGATTGTATTGAACATTTTCCCGAAACTTCGCTTTACTACGGAATGTGTAATACGGTAAAACGTTAACGCGGCTGATTGCCCGAGAAGATTTTATTGAATTTGTTCCCGAAACGTCGGTGTACTACGGTAAAAAATTAACGCGGCTGATTTCCCGAGAATATTTTATTGAATTTGATTCCGAAACGTCGGTTTAATACGGTAACCAGTTAACGCTTCCGATTACTTAAGTATTGTGAATATAGGCATTCGTCCATGTGAGCATTCGTACGTGTGAGCATTTGTCAGTGTGAGCATTTATCAGTGTGTGCATTTGTCAGTGTGAGCATTTGTCCGTGTGAGTAATTTTCGTGTGAGCTTTCATGACAGTGAGCTTCTTTCTGTGCGCAATTTTCGTGTACGGTTTTGTCTTGTACGGTTTTGTCATGGAACCAATTCAGGCTGATGAGGTGAAATTTTGAAAAGTACTGTAGGAAAGACAAGATTATACATTTTTAAAGTGAGGAGAAAGATACAGTCCACCACAATTAAAAGTGAACAAAGACTACCTACATAAAACAGAATTATCTTGAAAAGAAGAAAACTATTTGTACATATTTATGCTTTTAATTGTTTATAGGAATCAGAAAATTGCTACTTCACACAGATTCTCAGTTTTTAATAAACTGTATTACTGTGTGGATACACAAATGGAAGCAGAATGGCTGGATATTAACTGATGGTGGCAAAGTAAAAAACAAGGAGGATCTGATAGAACTTGATGAAGCATTGGAAGGAATGTATGTGAAGTGGGTATGTAGAACAAAAAACGTCTGATCATTTTCTTATATTATGTTATAAAAGAAAATGTGCCATTATCATAACAAACATCAAACCTGTTTGAACCTAGCAAGCATAAATCACTTACTAAATAATTACTGTCACCATCAGCCTTTCTTAATGTACATTCAAGCCAGTTTTTTTAAATTTTATATTATTATTGTTAAATTTATGATTGGTGTCTTATTTTAGTACTTTTAATCTGGTCTCTAGGTGTTTCCTGCCTAAACTTATTCTTGACTTGCAATGTGGGTTAAATCAAAGAACTTGAAGACAAATTTGCTTCATTGCTACTTCATCCACCACAAGTCTCATGTGAATTAATACAGATTTGAAACTGGGTCTCTTCAGTGAGAAGCCAGTATTTAGCTGCAAATGTATAGCAGCTATTCCTCCTGTTTCTCTTTGTGAGGTCATAGTTTTTACCTTGGCTCAGCAATAAACCATCTAGACAGATTTTTAATAGGTTTCTTAGTCCCTCTTGGTATACTGAGGTATATTTCTGGTAATGTGTGCAATAAATTTGAGAACACTTTAGATGTGCCCTAAAGATCTGATATTAGGGAAAACGTAGATAATAAATTGTTATGCATGAAGATGAATTTTTACTCATCACCACGAGAACCTGAAATTTTGCTGTTTATATTTTTTCTTATTCTGGCATTTCCTTTATGGAATATCTTACAGAATCACGTTCGTGGCCACACTGGAAATCATGGTAATGAAATGGCAGATACTTTAGCACGAGCTGGAGCAAAGAAGATATACTGAAAGACTTACGAATTTCAACTCAGCATAAGTCACTCAACATTTATTAACACAGCAAGAATCCGTCACACAGAAGTTGTGAAGAAGAATAAAACATGCATTTTATGCAAAATATACTTCTTAAGTTTTCAATATAATTAAAAGTTATTTTGATGCTGTGACATTTTATAATTCTAGAATCATCTGCCCAGTTTTGTGCTGTTTATAGAAACGTCAAAAATTATTATTCACAAATTTAAAGGTAATAACAGAGTAAATATGCCAAAATTGTTATGCTGTATATCCACAACTGAATTTATGTAATTCTTTAGATGAGTGAGATATTCAATATAATGCTGTGTATTATGAAATGTAGCAACAATTGAACTACATTTTCACAATATGAAAAAATTATGTTTTGACAACTCCTTGTAATTTGTACAATCTGTAATCCTCCATTACAAAACTTTAATGCTGAGATTCAACAGCACATACTTGATATAAACAAACCTTTCTTTTAAAATTACAGTGTAGCAGAAAAACTGGAGGAAATCACTTACTTTTTTATGTACTAAAATTGCAGTATTTGACAAAATAAATAAAGGTCCACACACATAATCCTGCAAATTTGTTTCTAAGAAAATCACAAAAATATACAAATTTGTAATCACTGAGAAATAATATATTTTATAATTATGGATTTGAGGGACTTCTTTACAGAAGGAAGAACAGCACTTATCTAAGAACACTTCACAAATCATATGGATATCATATATCAAAAGCATCAAATATCTAAGAAACCAGAGTGGATTATATCCCTGAGAAAGCATTCAATTTAGGTGTGTTAGGCATAAAAACCATCTACTGAATATCAATTCATCCATCCAACCATCCACTTACAATAACTATGGACAAGAAAGACTAAAATATGCTTTAATGTAGACTCAATGAAAAGGAATGTCCTTATATCATGGCAAATTTGGCCCTTTTTCTACCATCTGGGAGGGAGGGGCAATCACCATTTAAAAAGTTCATCTTTATGAGTGAATAATTCATGTATTATATCCCTACAAAATAGTGGCATTCTCTTTTTATGACTGCACACTTCAATAAATGCTTACCAAATAATGTTTTACACAAGGATTATAATCACTAATGAGTTTGTCATACAATGTTTTGTTCTCCAAGACCATCATACTAAAGTTGAGTTCATGACAGCAAACTACTTTTGATGCAGAAATCACTTCGATAACCATTTAGTTTGTATTTTATTGTAATGCTTTTAAACTGTAAATAACTTGCAATTTAATTAACTGGGATCCTTTATAAAACACTGGTACAATTTTTTTCTCATAGCAACTCTTTAGTTTGTTCCAAGATATATCAATAAAATATTAATATTTCATACAAAATATCAGCCCTTAATTACAAAACATACAAAAACAAACATCCCTTGTCCCTTTTAAGAGCTGTTCCTTGAATTTTTATTTGAAATAAAAATTAGACTGAAAACTGTACTTACCAGTTAAACAGCTACATAATCAGCAAATTGAGTATCCAGTTAGTTGCTAACGCACAGGTCCAGTTAGCAGTTGAACCAGTGAAAGTTTGGAAGTCAGTTCATTATTATTGCTGTGTGGCAACATTTATCTGAACCTCTGACCTGTCTGTCATGAGGAGAGGGCTGCAAGTCTACTGCTCCTCAGAATCTGAGAATAAACATGTTACTACTCAGATAAAGATCAGTAGTTGATTTCAGTGGAGAAATGTTTCAGAGGAATGTAGCCCATATCCTTTATATGCAGAAGAATATTGAGAGTAGCAATGCACCATCAAGATACTTCATATATCAGACAGTCCCTATCCAACCAAATGCTTCCTCTTTTACCCATTCCACCAAATTTCATTGACTAATGCCAGACAATGTTTGGTACCTTCGCGTTCACATTCTTCTTGAAATGCAAACTATGGACCTTCTACATTTTGGGAACGGATTTCCATATTTATGACAATTTGGATTCTGTCTTGTGGGGTTTGATGCCAAGTAGTCTTGTAGGTGGTTATGAGAAACATATGAGCTCTATCCCTGATGATGGAGGTAATAATTTCCACCAAAACATTGGTAACCACCTATGAAACTACACAAAATCATAACCAAGGTGTACATAACTATTTTACATGATGTACAAAGTGATCACCTGCAGCACTAGAGCAATAAATAATAATAAAATATATATGTTATCACATATTATACCAGACCACAGTGCTATAACCCAGAAGACAGCCATCCTTATACTCACTGCCATGAGAACCTTAAATCCTTGTAATCACATCCTTTCACACTTTAAGCACTTTCTTTATGGTCAACAGAAATACATATTCATAAGATTGTGAAAATAAATCAATTTATTTCAGTGCAGTTTATAGAGAAATACCTGTGCCAAGAACGGGCACTTCTGCTAGTTACTTCATAAACCTTTCTGATTTAAATATATACAGTAAAACCCCTCTAGTTGGACACCCCTCTATATTGGACACTTTTAATTGGAACCGGCAGATATCCTATAATTTTACATGTCCACAACACCCTATATCTTGGACACCCCTTTATCCTGGAACTTGAACACCCCTTTTGTTGTAAGTTGGACAGGTTCATGCACTTAGCTTCAATGCTTTTATGGGAAACATTTACAGTTAGTATTTTGTTG